CCTCACCCCCAGCCAGGCCGGAGCGGGGAGGGGGAGAGGCTGGCGGCACACTGACCTGCGGGCCTGGACTTCGCGGGGTTGCGGACGGGACCGGACGCGCCTGCCCAGGTAAAGGCCGCAGGGGTCCCCCCAAGAGGAGCCCGGAAGATTCTCTCAGAGTCGCTGGGACCTCCCCGGGGCCTCTCCGTCTTCCAGCCGGCGATGCTCTCGGTAAAAGACCCTTTTCCCCGAAGGCAGCCGCCCACCAAGCCTTCCCAGCGCGCAGAAATCGTGCTGCGGGCCGTGGGAGAGGCCCCGGGGCTGCGAGCTCTCCTCGCCCGCTCTCTCCTTCCGAGGGCAGGGGAGGGGCCTGCTGCCGCCTGAGACCCGCTTTTAATTCTCCGCCTGCCTGTTTCGGATCACTCGGGGTTGGTTTTTCTGTTTGCTCACTCCTTCTGTTACAATAAAAACAATCGACATTTCTTTTCAGTTTCCCCATATTAGCGTCACTCGGTAATTGTTCTCCACACCCCCGCCCCCCACACGCTGAAGGAGAGCGGGGTGGCTGGTACCCTCGCATTGGAAGGATTCCGAATATATAAGCAAATCTTCCCTAAAGACTTTAAAGTAAAAATAAATAACGGCCCGGGAAATTGCCGTGACCCTAGCCTCACTTTCTGAACGCAAATTACACCCATTTTTCAGTTTTCAACAGCGGAATTGCTTTCAGGGGGACTGCGCGGGGCCCTATGTGATATGGTTACATTGTTTATTAAGCCCGCAGATGGAAGAGAACGCATTTCTGTGCGAGGGGCAAAACTGTGGCTTCGGGACCGCAAGTGCGGTCAGGGAAACAGGAGGATCCCAGCGGGGAGGCCGAGCTGAGCCCCCCCAGAGGGAGGAGGGACCTCACCCTGCCGGGTCGCAGCGTCCGTAGAAGCCACCGCCCCGCGCGGTAACACGGGAGGACCGTCTGCGGTCACTCTAGAGCCCCGAGCTGCAGCGGCTCCAGAGGGCTGTAGCTGCGCGTGGGAAAAGCAGGGTCTCGGGTTTTTTTTAAGATCCTGCCCGCAGGATGTGGGGCTGCTGCTTGCCGAAGACCCGGTTGGCCTACGGGCTGCCTGGAAAAGATAAACGCGAGCCAGGCCGCGCCTCGAAGCCTGGGTTTTGGCGCTCAAACAAAGGCAAAGCCCCGGGGCCCCCCACCGCGGCCCGGGGCCCCTGCCTGCAGCTCTAGGCCGAGGGTGGGGAGGGCCGGAGCCTTGGCGCTGAGCGCGGGCATCCCCGCTCTGTTCAGTGATGCAGGGAACTGGGGCTCGCTCACTTCGCGGTCCCCTCGACCTGCGGGCGGCGCGGTGTGACCACGAATCTCCCGGGACCCTGCGACGCCGGCCGGTCCTCGCAATGGACACCGCGGGGGCCTGCCCAGCGCCGCGCTCTCGAGGCGCGGGATTTCCAACCTGCTGCCTTCTCCCGACTAATTCCACCTCCAACCAGCCCCGCGCTGACCCCGAGAACGAGAGCTGAGACTCCAA